TCTGATGACGATGTGAGCAATGATAGTGGTGAGGCTGATGATTGATGAAAACCAATGAATTTTACCTTGATCCTCATGCGTCTTTTTGAAAATAACCTTGCGGGAATGTGACTTTTGAACAACCTGTCATTTGCGATTGGTTTCGGATAAACATCCGTAAGACGGGTGGATGCCTTCGCAATCCATTTTTTTGTTTAATGAATATTTTAAAAAAAACTAATAATTATTTGTCAAACGATTTCAACTCGTCAAACAGCCTTGGGAAACTTGATAATTGATTAACAGTAAGTTGAGCAAGGTATTAATTTATACAAGTTCCCAAACCTTGGGGGACTACTGTACTACTACGTAGTACAAACTTAATATTGCTTTCTCGATTTTTCCGGCTGATGGGGCTCGCTCAAGGGGGGGTGGATTTTGATTTTTCTGAAATGTCGCGAACAGTTGTTTATAACCGGAACGGGGGTCCCCTCTTCTGGATACATAGTCCTCCTTTCCAGGGGCGCACGACGGGGTTGAATCCGTCGGAAAGTATAGCGGATGCCCGAAATCGAACCGAGGACCTTCGGCTACAAGACAGGCGCTCTAACCACTGGGCTAATTGAAAAGTAGGAACACTCCCACAGGGAGAATATAAGTGCCCTAATGGTCTAGTGGTATGATTCCTGCTTTGGGTGCAGGAGGTCCCGGTTTCGATCACCGGTTGGGGCCACTGTTTCCACTTTATCGGAATGTATTTTTTCCAGAGTCATGAAGATGGCACGACGACCACCTTTGTGGTCATGAGAGCGACGTGTCCGTGCGCAACGAAGCTTTTGTGAAAGGTCACGATGGCCGTGCTTGTGATCCAAGTGTCCGTGTCTATTTGTCAGTGGATGACGTGGGCGTTGCCGCCAACCCAAACAACTACACCCACTAGATACCGATCAACTCGACACCATAAATCCTGACGATAACTTACTTGTACTCCATGTTACGAGGCGCACACCACGTTTGGCTCGCGGATTTCGCCTGCTTGATCAGCCCGATTTTGTTGCCAATACCGCAGCCCGCTCGACCATCCTTGATAGGATCGGAGACTCGTTACGTCGACCGTCGTGGCTCGACGACACGCTTGGACGTCGTGGTCGGTGCCATGGACACTTGTTTGGAGGTCGTCGGGATATCTGAATATTCCGTCGCAGTACTGCGCGATTACATCGGCACACCACATGCCCGGCTCGTCGTCGAATAGATGCTGGCTCGTGAAAAACCCGACATGGCCGCCAGAGTGGGTCACGGCGAGCACAATGTTCGGGTTGGATCGGCATTCCTCGTACGGAATCGCAGTGTGCGGGCAAATTGGGTCGTCGTGGGCGGAAATGCACAGCGTGGGAATCGCAATGTGCTTGAGATACGCCGCACTGGACGCGTCGCGGTAGATGTCCATCGGCGTCAAGTACCCAAACGTATGACGGCTCACGTGGTGGTCGTACTCGGTCAAGGTCTTGATGTTTCGAAGCAAGGCAATGTCGACGGCAGGATGTTTGGTCAAGTGTTCATGGGCGTTTGTCTACAACGATGCAATCGCAACGGCGGCATGAGGTAGATTCGGTCGCGACGAAACATCACGACGTTCGCAAAGTCGACGAGTGGCCCGCCACGCGGGTGCACTCCATGGGATGCCTCGAAGTTACCAGTAGCCATACCTAGACAGAAACGCCCATGATATCAGCGGCGAGCGGGGCACGTGTGTCGTTTTCAGAAATCCCTTTTTCCGTGTCATCACGTGAAAATGAAAGGAAGTCGCCACGTTACCTCGTCAAATACCATGCGCAGCAGACTTCGAGTCATCGCGGCGTTGTACACCCACCGATGGAACCATGAGTGCGTGATGTGGAGGTTCGTCACGACAAAGTCGTACGGATTCGCCACCGAGACGGCCGCCGTGAGCAGACACGCCGCCCCTTCTTCGCCAACGTACTTGAGCAAGATGTTGGCACCCAAAGAGAACCCAATTCCCATCAACGGAACCCCTTTTGCTATATGGTGCGTGCACACAAAAGCCACGACTTCGCGGACATCGTGCGTGTACGCCGGGCAACACAGCTGGATGGAACAATCGAGTGACGAACGGCATCATTTCGTCGCGACGATGGCGCACGCATTGGGCGCGTGCTCCGACGCATCAACACATGAACTTTACCTTGGACGACGTCACTGGGTTGCGACCGCACCCTCGAGCATTCATCACGGCAACGCGCCATCCGTCGTGCAACAACCGCTTCACCGTCTTTCGAATGTACGGCTGGAACAACACACGACGTGTGAGATGGCGATTTCAACGACAACCACACGATTGCGTTTCAGGTCTGAGTGTGCTCCATGCACAACGGAGTGACCCGAACCATGCATGCAGTGGCTTTCGAGCCGCTGGCGGTCAGGCGCGATCATCATGTCGTGCACTGTTACCTCGTCGCTGCTGCCTGTTAGTCCGTGAAACATGAGCTAGTCACACGTCGTCGAACGAGTGAGATGACGAAACGAATGCATGTTGTGACACTGACCACGGTTGGCTGCGTTGTTCGATTTCGGAGTACATGGGAGTCGTGAAAAGGATCATCGGGCGATGAAGCCGGGATCGCCCAATCCAACGAGACCGTCCCGCCGTCCGAGAGCGTCAGGAGCTGGCGGTCGTACCGAATGACGGGGGCGGTCGTAGACAACGCCACCATGAGTGTTTGGAGGTGGCTACAGCACGAGGTGACCACAGATCAAGCCAAACATTGGCGCACACGCCATCGCACATGGACAGACCCGTTGAAGAGATACCACGTTGGATGGTACTTTTGCGCTGCAAGTAGAAACGTGGTCAGCCTTGGAAAGAATATCACACGAGAAAGAGTGCCTACCCAATTGACGGCAAGAGCGCAGGATCCGCCGCGTTGTGGGCGAGTCTTGATGTGTTAACGTCGGCCGCTTTGCTGCCCAGTGGTAGTGCAAACAGTGCACCAGGTACACGATGAACGCGTATTTCTTGCGCTCTCGTTCACCCAGCACCAGCTTTGCGAGGCCGGCGAGGCTGAACAGCGCTTGCATGGCGTCCGAGTTGGTCGACGAGGTCGAGGAAATGGTGTCGGCCACTCCGCATATGAACAGTCACAGCAATTCAGCCGGGAATATTTCAATACAAAAATCAAATAGGAATTGAAGCAAGGCGGCAGTTGATTGGGATCGTCGTGACGATAACCGAAGGTGGACAGCTTCGCATTGGCATTTTAATCGATACGAAGTATTGATACCTTGAATAAAATATCGTCATGGTGCAACAGGATATCATGCATACATTGGTCGTACGTACCATGCCTGCCAACTTCAACTTGATGTCGCGTCAACACGTTTCAAGTTGAAGCGACACATGAGGAAGAGTCGGCCCGTGCTTCCAGGTGAAGCCACCGACGCGGGTTCGCCTCTGGCACATCTCGATATAATCTGGGGTGCCCTCCTTCTTGAGCTGTTGTACGTGATGGTGTCGAGAGTAAGACAAAGCCGCGATCCAGGCGCGGTGCTTGTGTGTGACGAACGATGCGCTGGTCGCATCTCGGCTACCAGCTAAAGGACGAAATGCATGCATTTGACAGTGCGCAGATGATGCATGCAAAATTTCTCGGACAGATCCCAGTGAGGCCAAGCACATTAACCTTGCAACATTTGTGCAAGAAGCTTCGACAAGATCTTGGCTGGATGGTTTGTGCCGACGCATTTTTCGACCTGCGTAGTCAAGTGCACGGGACTCGACATCTCCTGATGTTACGCGTGACACAAGATCGTGATTAAATGGCAACTCGACAACGTGTGGTCATACTTGGCACTTGTGGCGGATGAGAATGACTATGATGGAGTACTGTACTGTAGTTGATTTCCTTGAGACATAGGCCGGAGCGTCGGTCGAATCCTCATTCGCCTGGTTGTTTTAATTTTAGTACTCTCTCCGATCCAAAAAGGTTGCGCGACTTTCAGGAGGGTTGACATGATACATCATTAAATTTGTAGGCGACTTCAGGCACAGTTTTCGTTCATCCTAGAATTGATTTCTGCGCTCCAATTGGCCTGTTGGAAAGAGCGCGAAACGGACAGCAGTTTAGGGATTTTCAGGGTTGAAATATGATGATTCCAAGTCATGTTATGGAGGTCAAAAGATTTAATACAAATTCCAAGATAAATCCAGCTTTTAAATATACAAACACTCTTCCATGGCGGGAATTCTGACAGCTCATTGTCACAATGACACAGAGCAGGCATAACCTGAC